GGGCAGGTAGGAGAGTGTAAGGAGGGAATAAATAATGATGGAAGGAGACTTGAACACACAATACAATATTCAGATTATGTATTATAACATTGTACACTTGAAACCTATATAATTTTATTAACCAATGTCACTTCAATAAATTCAATAATAATTAAAATATTCTTTCATTCCTATTTACTTAATTAGATCAGCAAGATCTCTCAGGCCTTACCATACGAAAAACAGTGAGTTAAATAAGATTGGTGTTCTACCCCATCCCATTTTAGCAACAAATAATATTCATCCAGGAATACATGAGCTTATTGAAGTAAAAATCAGCCCTAGTTATCTCATTATGAGAATCATTTCCAATTAAACTTCACTCTGTTTAAATTGTGTTCTAAGTTTGCAATATATTTATTACACTAATTGTATTATAATAATATATGACTAATAGTTCTAGTTATAACTCAATGCAAAAAACCCCCACAATTTTTGAACATTTAGAGCCTTATGTTCAAAAAGCATTTAATAAACATAAAATTTTAATTTATATACATACTAGAGGCCTGGTGCATGAAATTCGTGCATGGAGGGGGGGTGTTCCCCTCAGCAAAGCCTGAACCCTCTCCAATCCAGGATCTCTCTCACAATCTGGGACCATTGGCTCCTAACTGCTCATTGGCCTGCCTTCCTGATCGCCCCTAACTGCCCCCCCTGCTGGCTTAGTCACCCCCAACAGTCCCTCCCCTTGCCAGCCTAGTTGCCCCCAGCTGCCCCCCATGCCGCCTGGTCACCCCCACCTGCCTCCCCTGAGGGCCTGGTCACCCTTTGCAACCTGCTGCTTGTTCGTTTGGTCGCCCCTCACTAACCCCCTGCTGGCCTAGTCACCCCATGCAGTCTGTTCGGTTGTCCATTCGGTTGTGATTGTCACTTAGGCTTTTATATATATATATAGATATAGATTTTTTGTGACAGATATATTTTATAAAATTAATAAAAGACTCAAGAATAAAAATAAATTACAAGAAGATAAAAATGTAGAAAACTAAAATAGAATATGAAGGAGGAAATGGAGTATTTTGAAATTTTTCTTATAAAGAGGCCATGAACTTTTAAATTTGAAAATGTGGGTATTAAATTACTGTGGCATTTGAAGTCCATTGGTTACATATGTTTTTATTTTCTTACTAGAGGCCCGGTGCACAAAAATTTGTGCACTGGGGGGGGGGGTCCATCAGCCCGGCCTGTGCCCTCTCGCAGTCTGGGACCCCTTGGGGGATGTCTACCTGCTGGCTTAGGCCCGCTCCCTTAGGGATGGCTGGCAATCAGACATCCCTCTGGCAGCCCAGGAGCCCTGGGGGATGTCCACTTGCCAGCGGGGAGCAGACCTAAGCTGCAGTCAGACATCCTTAGCGCTGCTGAGGAGGCAGGAGAGGCTCCCACCACCACCACTGTGCTGGCACCTGTCAGCCTGGCTTGTGGCTGAGCAGAGCTCCCCCTGTGGGAGTGCACTGACCATCAGGGGGCAACTCCTGCATTGAGCGTGTCATAGTAACCAGTCATTCCCAGTTGTTCTGTTGTTAGGGTCAATTTGCATATTATGCTTTTAGTATATAGGATAGAGGCCTGGTGCAAGGGTGGGGGCCAGCTGGTTTGCCCTGAAGGGTGTCCAGAATCAGGGTGGGGGTCCCGCTGGGGTGCCTGGCCAGCCTGGGTGAGGGGCTAAGGGCCGTTTTCAGGCTGGCCACAACCCTTTCAGGGTGGGGGGTCCCGCTGGGGTGCCTGGCCAGCCTGGGTGAGAAGCTGATGGCTGTTTGCAGGCTGGCCAAGCCCCCCAGTGGGTACCCTCACCCCATGGGGGTGTGGCCAGCCTGGGTGAGGGCTGTTTTCAGGCTGGCCACACCCCCTTCAGGGTGGGGGGTCCCACTGGGGTGCCTGGCCAGCGTGGGTGAGGGGCTGATGGCTATTTGCAGGCTGGTCAAGCCCCCCAGTGGGGACTTTCACCCCATGGGTGTGTGGCCAGCCTGGGTGAGAGGCTGATGTCTGTTTGCAGGCTGGCCATGCCCCTCCAGCAGGGACTCTTACTCCATGGGGGCATGGCCAGCCTGGGTAAGGGACTGAGGACCGTTTTAAGGCTGGCCACAGCCCCTTCAGGGTGGGAGGTCCCGCTGGGGTGCCTGGTCAGCCTGGGTGAGTGGCTGAGGGCTTTTTTCAGGGTGGCCAAGTCCCCCAGCGACCCAAGCTCCCAGCCTCTCCTTTTTTTCTTTCTTTTTCAGCACCTCTGTGAGTGGAGGCCAGTCTGGCTGGAAGCAGGTATCTGGATTTATTTGTCTTCTATAATTGAAACTTTGTAGCCTTGAGCAGAGGCCACGCAGGCCAGGGCCAGTGGGAAGCTTGGCTTCCTCCATCGCTGGGGCAACCCAAGCCTCCTGCTCACTCCAGCTCATGGCCACTGGCCGCCATCTTGGTTGGGTTAATTTGCATAGTCACTCTGATTGGCTGGTGGGCATAGCAGAGGTACGGTCAATTTGCATGTTTCTTCTTTATTAGATAGGATGGTAAAAATACTTGACATTTACCCTCTTAATAGGTCTTGTGTGTACAATACAGTCTTGACTATAGGCACAGTTTGGTACAGAGAACTTAGAACATATTCATCTTGCTTAACTGAAACTTTACACTCATTGATTAACAACTCCTTATTCCCTCCTTCCCCAGCCCTTGCATCCACCATTCTCCTCACTACTTTTATGAGGTCAATTATTTCAGGTTTCACATACAAGTGAGATCTTACAGTATTTGTCTTTCTGTGTGTGGTTTATTTCACTTAGTACAATGTCCTCCAGGTTCATCCATGTTGCCACAAATGGCAGGATTTCCTTCTATATTAAGGCTGAATAATATCACATTGCATATATACTAGTAGATATATATATATACATATCATATATATCACATTTTCTTTATTCATTCATCTATCAACAGACCCTTAGTTCATTTCCATATCTTGGCTATTACAAATAGTGCTGCAATGAACATGAGAGTACAGATATCTTTGAGATCCTGATTTCAATACTTAATTTCATATATTCCCAGAAGTGGGATTACTGGATCATATGGTACAGCTATTTTTAATGTTTTGAGGAACCTCCATACTCTTTTCCATAGCCCCTGCATCATTTTGCTTTTCCACTCACAGTATTCAAGGTTTCGATTTTTCCACATCCTCACCAACACTTACTATCTTTGTTCTTTTTTTTAATAATAGCCATCCTAAAAGGTATAAAGTGATATCTCATTCTGATTGTTATTATTTCCCTGATGATTAGTGACATTGACCATCTTTTAATATGTTTGTTGGCCATTCACTGGCTACATTTAAAAGATTTTTATACTAGTTTTATTTTTAAATGACAATATTTATAACATACTGGAATTCCCACCATTTGAAAAGTAGGATCAAAATTTTTAGATGGCTTTTTAAACATGTGCAAAAAGTACATTGGTTTTCAAAGTAATTTCAAGAGATACAGGAGAAACTATATGATGACTAATGCTAATGGTGCTGTAAAGATATTATGATATATTTTCTTTGAAATAATTTTATTATGTTCAAGAGAGCATATAACTTAAAAGTTAAACAATAATATTATGATTATTATGAAAATTAGTCATCCTCTCCAAGAGGTCAGCAAACTATACCCCACCAGCTGTTTTATTGGAACACGGCATCTATGTCCATTTGTTTCCATATTGTACCTGGTGGATTTCACACTAGAAGGACAGAGGGGAATATTTGCATTAGAGACCATATGGTCTGCATAGGCTAAAATATGTAATATGTGATCCTTTTCAGTAAATGTCAGTCCCTGCTCTATCTCATCCTTCTTTATTATCAGCGAATCAGAAATTAAAACTTTTTAGCTATTTCTTCTGGTATTTAACTCTACATTTATAAATGTCATGTATATAGCTATCTATCATCCTACATTGAAAGAGATACAGGCACACACACGTACTTCAAACAGATACACAAACACTTCCTTTTGCTTAAATCAAAATTTAGGGTTTTATTATTATTTTTTAAGTTTCTGTGACCATATAATTATTTTTAACTGCTGATACATTTTATTTCTTTTCTGTGCTATTTCTTGATTTTCCTGAAATTAAATTACCTTGATGTACAGAGATAAAACTATTTTAATGTAACCTCAAATTGGTATAGCACTGGGACATTTCAGAAGAATTATACCCACATGCCCCTAATATAGGTGCAGAAAAGTGTACAAATCTTAAGTGTGCAGCTCAATAAAATTTTACAAAATGTAACCACTCCCCACATCAAGATATAGAACATTAATAGCACCCGGCCGTGTCTCTTCATTTCCTCCAAATTATAGCCCCCAATATAACCGCTTACTATTGCCATCATTATTGATTTATATTCCTGCTTTTGAACTGGAAGAAACGAAATCATGCAGCAGTTACTGTACTGTGTCTGATTTCTTTCATGAAGGTCTGCAAGATGTATTTATGTGGTTGCATGCAGGCAGTTCTCAGTCATTCTCATGATGACTTTTGTAAGAAATGCCGAACCATCCTCCAAAGTGGCTACACCATTCGGCCTTCCCAGCAGCAGTGAAGGAAAGCTCCTGCTTCCCTCCTCACCAGCACTGTTGCCGTCAGTGTTCTGGATTGGGGCCATCCTGGCAGGTGGCTAGTGCTCTCTCATTTTAATTTTAATTTCTTTTTTTGAAGGTGGGGTTTGTTGTTTTATTATAAAAGAAAAACTAACTCCTCAGAATCTTAACGAACGAAAAGGAATTTTTCACACTCAGAACAGACACCAGGATACAAAATTACAAGTGTTTAACCCCAGTCCTGTCCCCCTCCCCTCTAAGAGGAGACAGGGAGGAGACAGTGGAAGCAAACAAGCATTCTGTAAGAGACTACAAATATGATTAAAATCTAAACTTTTTTTAATATATGAAAAATTATTTTAATTTTTCATATATTAATTTTTTAATATATGAAAAGGCCTGCTTTAGTGACATGCTAGTCCCCCAGAAAATAACCCAATATCCCCTTGTCAGTAACATACATGCTCAAGTTGATCAGCCAACTCATATTTCTAAACCCCTGTGCATACATGTGTCTTTATAAACCAAAGCCATGGGGCTCGGTGACTGCTGCTATTTGCTCCTGGTAGCCGACTCATGTCCAGAAGGGCAGGCAGGGCACAGAGAAACCCTTAAAGGTAGTGAGGGTTTAACAGCCCCTAACAGCCAACTTTCCAAGCACCCCTCCTCCTCAAAAAGAGAGCCTTATTTCTAATTTCATCTCAAATTTGGCTCCCAGTGACCAGAACGGTCTTTCTCCTTTAGAGAAAGCACACATATCCATATATATATAATGTTTTTGTTTTTGCATTTAAATATAAAAACACTACTCTGATTTGTGTTATAGATGGAGGATCAAGCAATGAGAACTTTTTCTTCGAAGGTAGGGAAGCTTCAATGATAGGGGAGAAAAGTGTGTGTGTGTGTGTGTGTGTGTGTGTGTGTGTGTGTGTGAAGAGACTAAGAACGGGACCCCCCTCTAACCTGGCCAAAGAAAGCAGGAGATATTAACCGGGCACGAGGAATAAAAAAAAGATTTTGATATTCTGCTCTTAGAGTCACATTTGTTATAACAATTGAGGGCCGAGAGTGGGAGCGGGAGGAAGAAGTACTTAGAAGGAGCCGGATGGCTGCAAGTCTAGTCCACGTAGTGTTTGTACTGGACGGGCTCGTCGCCAGTGTCGTTGAGAAGACACGTGCGGATGAGGGCTTCTGTCACTGCGAAGGGGTCACAGTTGGCAGAGGGCGCCGGTCTTCAAAGGACCCCTTCTCCTGGCCCACAGCCCGGGGAATGCGGATGCTGGCGCTACGGTTGGCCATGCTGGGGGAGAAGTCATTGATGTTGGAGGTTTCACTGAATCCAGTGAGGCGCCGGGCTTTGTCCCGGCCCCCCTTGGGATCGTAGGCTCGGATGTGGTACTGGTGCCGCCTGCTCGGCCTCTCGATGGACTCCTCTCTGTACTTCAGACCGTTCTCCTCCCGCAGGGCCTTGGTGCTGACGTTGGTGGGGCAGCCTGCTCCAGCCCAGTTCCCAGGAATGGGCTTGGGGTCAGAGGTTGCTATCACTCCAAAGTCTTCACACGCTCGGTGCAAGCTGAAACGGGCCACCCAGAGATGATCGCCCATGGCGATTCCTTCACGGGGTCCTATTAGGAATTCCCACTGGGCAAGCGTGACCCCGGCATTGTCCCTTCGAGCTGGATGCCAGCATACAAGCAGGCCCGGGAGTGAGCCTCCACAGTATCCCTGCCGTAGGCTCTGTCGCTCCCACGCTGCAGTAGTAAGGACCGTGGGGTCCAGGGAAGCCATTGGAAGGCCAACCGAAGTTGCCCATCTGTGCCCATGAGAGTATACTCCTCTCCATTCCAAACCAGGGATGCTGAGCTCACCATGCCCATTATCCGTTTGCAGGTATATCTTAAATTGGGCTCTGCAGGTTTGCGGTTGTACTTTAAGACTTCACAGAACACCAGCTTGATGGGGTCCTTGTGGAAAGGGTCCCGAAACATGGCAGCAGGAAAGAGATACATGTCACTGTTGGAGCCTTCAGACTGCATAGTACTAGAGCCATCGAAATTCCACTCGGGCAACTCTTCTATGCTCTTGGGCTCACTGTCCAGGGTCCGGGTCTTGCATCGCAGTCCTTCTCCAGTAGCGTCAATCCAGATGACACAGCTTGGACTTTATCACCCTGAGGCAGGGGCATGAACATCTGCTTGATGCCTTTGTTCAAGTGGGAACTCGCTGAGGTGGACATGGTGGAAGTTGCTCTCGGGGGCAGGGCGGGCAGGCCATGAGAGCAGGGTGCAGAGAGGGGAAGAGAGGAAGCTGGGAGTGCTGCTCAGACACTCGGCTCTTTTCCTATCCTCAGCTCTCTTAATTTTAATTTCTTAGTGACACATGATTTTGAGCATCTTTCCATATGCTTCTTTTCCATCTGTGTATCTTCTTTGGTGAGGTGTCTGCTCAGGTCTTTGCCACAATTTTAATGTGTTTTCTTATTGTCCATAAGGTTCTTTAAATTTTAAGGTTATAGTCCTTTTTCAGATGTGTCTTTGGCAGATATTTTCTCTCAGTCTGTGCCCTACCTTCTCATGCTCTTCATGGCACATTTTGCAGAACACATGTTTTTAAGTCAGCTTTTTTTTTTTTTTTCATGGATTGTGCCTCGGTGTTATATGTCTAAAAATTTATCTCTACACTCAAGGCTATCTAGATTTTATCCTATCTTATCATCTAGGAGTTTTGTAGTTTCGCATTTAGGTCTGCGATCCATTTTAAGTTAATTTCTGTGAAAGGTGTAAGGTCTGTGTCTCATTTCATTTCTTTCTTTTTTGCATGTACATGTCTAGTTGTTCCAGTTCCATTTGTTGAGAAGACTAACTTTTCCCCAGTGTAATGCCTTTGCTCATTTGTCAATGATGCTCTGGCTGCTTTTTAAGTTTTTCTTTCTTTCTTTCAAAGTGGGGGGGTCCTAGATGTAGTTTTCTTTTTTACATATCTCATTTTGAGCTTGTAGACCTTCTTGATTATTTAGCGTTGTAGTTTTCATAATTTTGGAAAATATTTTGGCCAATATCTCTGCCACTATTTTTTCTGTCCCACTCCTTATTTCTCTTTTTCTGGGACTCAATTTATACACATATTGAATCATTTTCTTTATATCATATGTGAGTATGCAAACTTTTTATTTTTCACACTTTCTTCTCTCTAAGCTACAACTTGGATTCTTTTCACTGACCTATTGTCCAATTCATTAATCTTTTTTACTATGTTTAATATGCTATTAAATCCAACCATTGGATTTAATATGGTTTTTAATTGCAATCATTGTATCTATTAGTTCCAGGGTTTCTGTGGTACTTTTTAATATATTTTATTTCTCTATTGATCTCTCTCCCTTACCCCCAACATCCCCTACCTTCCATCTTTTATGATATGTTCTTAAATATTTTAATCATAGTTGTATTTTAAAGTATATTTCTTATTACCTCTGGGTCTATTCCAATGTCTGTTTATTCCTCTCTTCAATTTTTAGTATTGCTTCTGTCTTCTAGCATAACTAGTAATTTTTTATTGAATGTTATATAGGAGATTAATCCAAATGGGGTCCATCCTGGAGTAACAGTGATCCTCATTCAAGACTTCCTAGTTACAGATTTGTATGCGAATAATAAAACAGGTATATATACACATGGTATTTTCTTTAAAATATTTTTTCCAACTGTCCATTTGTAATAGATATTTAACATAAGGTGGACATAATTACAGTCATGATTGTTCATGCATAGTGAATTTACATTACTCAGAAACTCACCCAGTTTTTGGCCAGCAGACACTGCTTTGACACTAGATTCTTCTGATCACTGCTAATCAAATGTTATGCTCTTGTCCAAAGGGGTGTCATATAACCTAAGTATGCATATAAGGCTCTCTCTCCACAACCCAGCAGAATTTGTTATACATGTCAACAATGTCCCAATTTATTTTTCCCCTCTTTCTCTCTGTGATATGTGTATGCACACAGATATTGCATCAATCAGGGTCTAATCAGGAGACAAACCATATGAATCATCATTTTAACAGATAATTTAAGTTATTGTTAACTAGATACTGGAGAATGGAAAAGACAATTATTGACCACTTAGATAACCCCCAGTGGCAGCTGTAAGATCAGCTACCACCCCTAGGGCTAGGAGAGAAAAAGAGATAGGTTGGAATTACCATAAACAGGGATCATGAAGGTGGGAGCCCAGGGGGGTGATGCTAACACCAGGCTGGTGCTGATATCACTGAGAGAGGGCGCTGATGCTGGTTATGTGAATGTTGTTCAACCTACATAGTGTAAACAATTGCTACATTATTTACAGGAACAAAATGCTGACCCATAAAAATGGAATGATGATGAAAACAATAGGACAAAAAAAACAAGAAATATGAAGCAAAATAAGAAGGAAAATTTTTTTTGTCCCTCCTCTAGCCTTTCATTGTTCCTCTGATAGCCCCCAAGAAGGAGTTACCTACAAAAGAAAGAGCAACATCATATTTCTCCCACTTTGGCATGCACATTTCATTCACGTTTAAACACGTTTGCCATTGGCATGAATCTTAGAATAGATGGCAATGTTTTTCTTTCTTAATGTCATGGAAAATAATGATGGCTCTCATAATCAATGGTTTCTTCAACTTCATGGAATGTGGTATTTTTAAATGCATAGAGTGACTTCTATCACCAAACTTTCTGACCCTGGTAATTATTGCTTTCTCTTTTAAGTTCTCACGTACCATCTGTTAAATAGTTCTACAGTTTTGTAGGAGTCCAGTGTTAATCTTTTTTACTTATACTTTCTGAATTACTTCCCTCCTTTGTAACCCTCTCCCACCTCCAGAATTATGGTAGCCGTTTTACATTCTGTTGAACCCTCTTTCGGGAGTCATTGTGGTATATTCTTCATTTCAGGCACTGAGCAGTGATTCTGAGATCACATAAGCCACATTGGTGTTTTGCCATTTGAGTCATATGGCCAGGAAAACTCCCTTACAGAATTACAGCTCTCTCCTATGTGAGTTTCAAATTCCTTATTTTATAGTACTTGTTACTTTTCCCAGTCAGTTTGCATGTGTTGTTTCAGGTTTGTGGCAACTTCTCATTACCCCGCAACAACACCAATTCTGACAACATGATAATAAATCTGTTGTTTTCTGGCTCTTTCTAGACAAACTTGAAGCTGAACTAGAACCTTACTTCCACTTTAAAGGGCACTCCAAAAGTATTTTGTGTAAATTCTGTTGCATATATTTTTGCTTGTAATGTTTTGTGTGGCTCTGGAGTTACACCTCTTCATTTCATCTTGAGTTTGGCTTGAAAATATTTGAAGTTAAGAAGAAATATAAAAATGCAGGTTATTGATGTGACTTATCAATATACAAAAAGAAAAGAAATATCACCTTGTAACACCATTGAATAAAGGTGATTTTTCCAACTAAAATGGACTCTATATTATTGATTAGACAATGTATTTAGTTAGCTATTTCTATTAAGAAACTGCTGCAAGCCCTAACCAGTTTGGCTTAGTCGATAGAGCGTTGGCCTGCGGACTCAAGGGTCCTGGGTTCGATTCTGGTCAAGGGCATGTACCTTGGTTGCAGGCACATCCCCAGTGGGGAGTGTGCGGGAGGCAGCTG